CAAGAACTCCAGAAAATTCTCCCAGAGGTGAGAGAAATGTGGAAGTGCAACAAAATCCCTGGCTTCAAATCTGCTCAGGAAGAGAGAAGATACGAGTACACCCTGGATGGAGATCCTGAGTTCTGCTACAACGTGCTGGGCTTTCACATCTTTATCTCAGAGGGCTATCGACATCTGCAGCCTCCTTGGAAGAGGTAGCAAATTGGGGGTAGCTCCTACTCACACATTACTGATGCAGTCTGCCTTTTTATTCGTTGCACATCTTCCTGCAGCCTTTCATCAGGAAAGAGAAAAAGGTGGATACATCTTCTGGGAAAAAAGGCAGCTTTGTGTCTAAGGAAGTACTTTCTTCAGCAGTTCAGAGAAAGAGGCATCAGAGAAGGAAGGAAAGCTTTCTCCCAAGTCAACTCTCAGGAACCACATGAGCTATGACTTAGAAAACTCCATTCTTTGGGTTTTAGCATTGAGAATTTACTTAATGCCTAAAATGTACAAACTCCATGTAGGAGGAGGTGAGTGTCAGTTATGTTCATCAAAAGCCTCTAAGTCTTCACGAAGAACAATCTGCCAATGTCCTCCTATTAGTTTAAGGAATGCACATCTCTGTCTGTTTCCATTCTTATCCACACACCAGGTTCTCGGTGCAGGCTGTAGTTTAGTCCCAGTTATTATCATGTAGAACATACACAATATACAATACATATTTTTGCAGGCCACTGTTCAGCAAAATTGTCAGATTTTCCTTTAGAGAACAAAAAAATAGTGACTTGGTCTTCAAAATATAATCAATCTGTACATCTACTGGCACTCAACACCCTGAGTACCTGGAACAGCAGATGCTATCTGCTCCCAGTGCTCCATCCACAAAAATGCAGCATTGCCCTGCCCGAAATGCTGCCAGCAGTCTTTCAGCAGGGTCACTTCTTCTTTGCTGGAGCTTTGGCATTCCCACCAGCTTTGCCATTAGCTTTGGAGCTTCCTCCTGATTTTGCTGCTTCACCTTCTTTTTCACCTTTCTTTCCACCACCTTGTTTCTTGTCATTACTGCCTTTTTCTCCCTTTTCTCCCTTTTCTCCCTTTTCTCCCTTTTCTCCCTTTTCTCCCTTTTCTCCTTTTTCTCCTTTTTCTCCATCTTTTTTCTTGGCATCCTTCCCTTCTTTCTTGGATCCGTCTTTCTGGTCCTTCTCACCATCCTTCTTCTTGGATGCATCTTTCTTACCCTGAGCCTTGTCCACTTTTCCAGAGACAGTAGGAACTTCTTCCTTTTTTTCTTCTGCTACCTGAGCTGTATGTGAGGATGGAAAAAGAAAATAAAAAGGCAGTTAAATTGGAGTGACAGCAGATGTGAAGAGGGTAAAACTTTTGCACCCCATTGGCAAATCCTGGACAAAAGAAAAACACTGTTGCTATGTCCCTACAGTTGTTTTCCTCACTGGCTAGCAGCTTTTCATGCCTTTGTTTTGAGAAGATAGGCTAATGGGATGAAGCAGAACTGATAATTTCAAGAGCAGAGTTATGGCTTTGTTGGAGGAAATAACTCCCATTGATCAGATCTGATCCCTGCACTTCAGAAGGACAGCCCATAAGCATTTCCCAATAAAGGCATTCAATGCAGAGCAATCTCCTTCCAGGCAAAGGAACAGAAACCTCTCTGATGTAACTGAGTACAACTCTGGCCTGTTTTTCATTTCTTTTTTGTTTCTTTGATTGGTTTGGATTTTGCTTTTTGCTTTTTTTTTTTTATTATTATCGTTATTTTGTTTCATTTTGTTCTGCTTGTTTGATTGTATTTTTGCTTTGCTTTGTTGGTCAGATTTCTGCATAGGTTATGAATCCTGTAGCTGAGAGTGGGCAGTGGACATTCTGCTGGGGTTCTCTGCTCTCAGAGACAGTCAAGCAGAAGAAGAGAGACTCAGCACAGGGCTACAAAGTAGGATCTTCTTATGTCCTGTCCTGATTTGGCACCATGGGATTGATTTCCTAACTGCACCACTGTAATTAATGGTAAAAACATACCATGGGCACATAAGAATTAGCTCTTATATTGTTTTGGTGTGTTTTAACACACAATAATCCATAGTAGTTGTAGGATGCTGATAATATCTTTGCTTGTGGAATGTCTTTACTAAGGAACACCTTGGATTCAGTACCCACAGAAGAAGACTCATACATAACGCTGGGTCTGCAGGCAAATTATTCTGCCAAAGAATATAGATTTATTTATTTTTACTTTTAATAGAAGCTTAGCCAAGATGTCAGAATGACCTGGCCATGACCAGGAGGATACTGGACAGCTTTCTTCAGCTGATACTTAGGATAAGATGCCAAGGAAAGCTGGCAGTGAACTGGATCAGGAGGTAATTTGGTAAAGAGTGAACCTTTGGAGAGATTTCTCAATCCCTACGTGGAGCCAAGCAGCCCCAGACCTCCCTGCTATGGGTATCTGTAGAGTCATTTCCAGATGACAGCAGTGTAAAATATGGAGGAATAAAACCTGCATTTATAATGTTTACCAAAAGTATTCTTTCTGATTGCACACTGATATAAAATGTTACCCTTTGATCTTGGAAACTGGTAATTCATTTGTACATACAGATGGAAGTGAAACAGTGCAGGCTTTTTCTTACAAACAAGGAGGAAATCCAGACATCTCATATGAAAAAAAGAAGAAAAAAAACTCTACAATAAACAAACAAACATACAAGAAAACCACAAAACTGACCAACCAACCAATCAAAGCCAACAAAATCAACACTGTGTGCTTCCTGGAGAAATGTGTTAAGAACCCCAAAAAGTCAGCTTAGCTGCTCTGAACCAGAAAACTTGAAGATTTCCCAAGCCACGGACCCAGACTGTGCATCTCAACTCACAGCAAGGGCTCGGTTCTGCTTGTACTCCTCCCACAGACTGTGAGACAGGGCAAAATAAACTGTTTCTAACATTTTATCCACTGAAACCTTAAGTCTGTTCTCTTTAATGTCCATATAAAGGGCTTGCCACATACAACACTCAGAAAAGTGCATGGAGAGAAATTTGGCAGCTGTAAGAATCCATCACAGAGTCAAATGATGCCAAGAAATGAGAGTATTTAAGCGCTGTAATATATTCGTGATTAATAGCATTTGACAATTACAGAAAGCTTTACCGCATTTAATGGCCATTCAGTAATTAAAATCATTCAGGTTGTCTCTTTGGCCTCGACTGGGTCTACTGGGAGCTGTCACAGTGAAAGTATATATATATATATAGTCAGTGAACACACACATTATATTTCATGAGCACATAAATCGAGGTGGGCTGCCAAATGCCAATGGAGCAACGCGGGAGTCCGTAACACTCAGTACAGACAGGAATAAAAATAATAATAGCACAGGGATGAAACCTGAAGGTTTGCATGCGTTCCATTGTAATGCCTAAATCACAAAATGAAAACCTGCAGAGGTCACGATTCACACTGATCTCAGAAGGAGGCCAGACCAATGGGTTTGATCACACATGGCTTTTGCATCTACCATTTCAGCATCAACAGATGAGTCAGTCCATTTGGGTCTCCAAGACTGAAAGCATACAGGCATTTTTAAGTCACAATTTACCTATTTCACTTTAGCACCTCCTTTACTGTGAAAGGAATCAAATCCTTTTTGTTTTCACTGTGAATCATAGAACGGTTTGGGCTGGAAGAGAACTTAAAGATCACCCAATTCCAATCCTTGCCATGGGCTGGATGTCACCCACCAGATCAGGCTGCCCAGGGCCCCATCCAACCTGGACTTGAATCCCTCCAAAGGGGCATCCACTGCTTCCCTGGGCAACCTGTTCCAGTTCTTCACCACTCTCTGAATGAATAATATCTGTGTATAACATAATTGTGGATGGATGTAGCCCTCCTCAGTCCCAACTCCTTCAGGGCTCACAGAGGACCAAGAGGTTCAGAACACATGTATTCAGGAGTCATAACCAGACCTCAGCAGCCTCTCACCAACACATTATCCACTTGATTCCTACCCTGCACTATGCCAGGACAGACCACAGCTCTGGAATTCTCACAAGGTCAAAGTGTGGTCAACTACTCATACATTTCATGGGATAAAGGTTGTATGGTGCAGGTAGCTTCTAATAAATTGCTTTCTTATGGTGATATATTCATGATGCAATAGTTTACCATGGTCCAACTAAATATACGCTACACACTGGTGTGTTGAAAGGGCTGCTTATAGGACATCCAAAAGTATGCAGTGCTCAAAAGCCCTCTCTGTCTCTTTGGGATATTTTAACTCTGAATTTATAGGTTTTCAAGAATTAACAGCTAGGCAGAAAGAGGATGTAGCAGATGAATGAGTTTGGCTTTCTGCTATCTATATGCATTAGCCTTCATACTCTATGGAATCTTAGGACTCTTACAGAATCAGAATTTGGTATTTTGGCCAGGAAGTCAAAGGATACAATATTAAGTAATTCCATATGATTTCTTTTGTGTATATATACATATATATATATATGAGTGTTCAGGAGACCTTGAGGTGGCCTTTGATTTTGAAGTACTTTCATTTAACAGCATAGGCAAGGGTTTATTTATGCCAATTGTGATCAGCTCAAGAGAGCAGTCTGGCCATCTTCAGTTTATGGTGTTGGCATAGACAGGTGACTGAACACTTTGGAAACACTGAGGTATGTGTAAGTGCTTACTATTAAGCACGTTTCTGTATTTTGCTGGTGTAGGACTAAATTCACACAATCATGTTTTCTACCTCTTTCATCATTTCCATGAATTGTTGTGAGCTAAAGAAACTACAGGTTTCTACATAGCTACAGACCACAAGGCTTGCAGAGACACAGCAAACAGAACGAAAAAAATAAAGATTTTCATTAAAAGTTACTGTGAAAACAGAAGTGAAATGCAGAAAGGGAACTGAGAAGCAGAGTCCAAGACATGGTGTATCTCATAGGAAGCCATGGAAAAGAGAAGCCATAGACAGACAGACAGACAGGAAGGAAGTCCCCTAATTTCCTTGTAGGGCCATTTCATCTTCTTCTTTCAGCACAGGCAGGGAGCTGAGAGGTCTGGACTGGACATGAGCAGAGAGAGTTGGGAGAGTTTCAGTAGAGCCTAGGGTACAGAATCAGGAAAGGAGAGTGAGAGAAGCAGACACCAGTGACAGAAATACTCTTGGCCATCCAAATGGGGCAAACAGTTTCTGGGCAGTGTGAAGTTTTAATTTTTTTCTTCCTACTGACAAATACCTCCAACCCAGAAATTGTCCCTTAAAAGGAATCAGATTCTTTGGAATTTTTAAACATGATGTGCAAAGGAATAACCCTGACTTATACTATTGGAGAAACTGTCCCCTTCATCTGAATGATTGTATCTGCTGCAGGTTTAGAATAGTGCATGTGAACAGAAGGGACTTACCAAATCATGGTAACATATCTTCATGGCTATGCTCAAGAAGCCACATTCACTTATATGTAGGGAGGACCTAACCCTTTCCATTCATGCAGAAAGAAAACAACCCCAATAGAAGAGACAGGTCTTATGTGTAGCTGATGGCATGCAAATTACCTCCAGGGATCTCTGTCAGCTCATTGAGTGGTGGCACAGTCTCCAGTTTGTCTGCATATGTCTTGGCTGCTTGCCGTTGAGCATATCGTGCCTCAATCTCTTTCTTTGTCCGGGGAATCCGGCACTTGAAGATACAGCACAGTGTAATAACTAGGAAAGGAGAAAGAGAAGCAAGAGCATTCATCTTAGATGAGCAGATCTCTGTTTAGCATTGGTTTCTTTAAGTGAGAACCTGGAGCCATTTACATCAATGGAAATATTCATCTGAGGAACAGAGTCACACAGTTTGAAGCAATTCGGTTATCTGAAAATAAAGAACTCATAGTCTTCAGCTGAATTATGGTAAAGATAAAGAGTATATCTAGGAAGATATATTTTTCATTGATTCTCAAATCTATACATTACTTCAGAATTTCCACCTGCAGATCTAACCATGATTCGGGCAATTCATTAAAATGAAATAGCTTTGTTGCTATCAAATAATTGATTCCATGTATAACCTCTGAAAACAACAAAGCAGAACTTCAGGGAAAAAGGTGATGAGGCTTTGAAACTAGTAACCATGCAATTATTTGTCCCATAGCTTTGCTCCATGTAAAGAAGCACGAGACCTCATGGGCAAAATGAACTTTTAAGTTGCTTTTTCCTGGGCACCTTTATAAATGGAAAGTCAATGTAAGTTTACCCATTCGAGCTATCTGAATGCTTGAACTTATTTATATGCCTTGTAGAAACAAATTCTGCTGAGGGGCAGAAACTTGTGAGCAGAAAGATGTTGTATGGTCAGTTTTACATGCTCTACCTTAACTGGAGTTCTCTCATGCTGCATCAACTCTATGAGAAAATAGGCATCCAACTTTCTACATATTTCATCAGTCTAGTCACCTGTTCCAGCTTTCTATTTCTGTCATGAGCGAAGGATCAGACTTTTGGGATTAATTCAAGGAAAAGCCAAAAATAATTGGTTATGTTTGGTTCCAAGTGTGAGATTTTCTCATTCACCAGGAGTAAAATCCTCGTGCAGAGTCTGCACAACACCATCACGTAGACCATTTCTTTGGTGTCAATTTCTATCCTAGAAATTTGCCCTGTGCCAGTCCAGCCTCTCCTAAGCAGACGATCATGTTAACCAGGAAAAAATCTGCACAATGTCTTCATATAATAGAAGAGAAAAGGAAAAAAGAAAAACACCATTCTTAGTGCTTTAGCTGAGACGGGTATGAAGTTACCACGCAAAATGAAGCAGGTCCCTGTTGCTGCCAAAAATATCACTCCCTTTAAGCAGTTTGCTGTGCAGGCTCTGTACTGGAATCACAACAGGGTGAGAGGGAGGGAAGATTTAGGTTGGATGTCAGGGGGAAGTTCTTTACAGAAAGAGTGGTAAGGTGCTGGAACAGCTGCTCAGGGAGGCTGTGGATACCCCGTCCATCCCTGGAGGTGTTCAAGGCCAGGTTGGATGGGGCCCTAAACAGCCTGGTCTAGTATTAAATGTGGAGGTTGGTGGCCCTGCATGTGGCAGGGGGTTGGAGATTCATGATCCTTGAGGTCCCTTCCAACCCTGGCCATTCTGTGATTCTGAGACGCCTGGTGCTCCAGTGGATTGCCAAGAACAACATGACACTGCAATAACCTGCAATTGGGGTAGCAGTCAAGATGCTTTTATCCCTGGTCTTTCACAGGGGTCAGCAGCAAGCTGAGAGCAAGAGAGCTTTGGCTTGTCTCACAGGAGAGCGAGGCACCCATAAGGTGTTACTGGCACAACTCTGGCTGCTTGCAGTGGGTAATGTGAGCACATGGGGAAGGCATATGGATGGGTCTGCACTGATTTTCAGGGCTGTTTCCCCATGCACCTGGCTGGAGAGCCAAGCCACACTGCGAACAATGGGTGGCACAGCTTTCCTCATGCTGGCAGACAAAAAAACACCCCCAGCAGTGGGGCAAAGATAAGCCAGGCATAAGCATGCATTTGAACAGTGACAGAAAGCAGGGAAGCAATTTATTGAGGAGTGGGGTGCGTGGTTTTTCTCTACCAGCTTTTAAATCGGGATCCATTGTTTTCCTAAAAGCATTCTGGATTTCAGCTGAGCTGGGAAATCCTCTCCTAGCACTCAAGAAAACTAGCACCACATTTCCTGGGGACTGATAAACGCTGAGATTGTCAGCTTTCAAGTAAAGCAGGAAAGATGGGTCAATGCCCTTGAAAGTCAAGAGGCCTGCTGCAATCCCAGCAGTTGGCTTAGCCCTGTGGGAAGGAGTAGGGGTTGTTGTATCTCTCACAGATCCACTTCTTCTAAATTACTAAGGACAAAAGTGGTTGTTGCTCCATGGCAATCATGAGCCGGGCTCTCTGTTTAACTTTCTGACAAAGTGCTGTACTGAGGTATTAAGGATTTATGTTGTCTTGGAGCGTGAAATGATTCATAACCAGCCACTGGAGCAAGAGGGTTAAGGCAAAATAACAGAATGCTATTTCTTCTCCTCATCTCCCTTGCACATTAAGTCTCAAGGACATGCAGAGGAATGAGTGATGAACTGAATGTCATTATCTTTTACAACAATAGGCAAGTGCATAAGATTTTGGTATGGAGCTTTGGGACACTGTGACTGATGCCAGAAACACTCTGGGGGTGTTGGCTGACAGCTGAGCCAGCAGCATGCTCAGGTGGCCAAGAAGGCCAGCAGCATTCTGGCTTGTGTCAGCAATAGCACAGCCAGCAGGAGCAGGTGATCATCCCTCTGTTCTGGCACTGGTGAGGCTGCACCTCAGTGCTGTGTTTGGTGTTGAGCCCCTCACTACAAGAGAACATTGAGGCCTTTGAGTGTGTCCAGAGAAGAGCAGAGGAGCTGTGAAGGGTCTGGAGCACAAGTCTGATGGGTTGGACTTTGTGATCTTAAAGGTCTTTTCCGACCTTAATGATTACATGATTCTATGTATGATCATTTCATCACTAATGGGAAATCATTGCCTGTTGGATTTCTTTGCTTTTCCATCCAGGTTAGACAGGAGGCTGTGGAATTCATCTGCCCTGGTTGGTACGTCCCAAAGATAAAGGTGAAGATCAGGGTCTCAGTTGCTTTAAACTGCCTTGTTTACTGATGGACACAAAGAAATATCTTTACAGGATGATTGATCTTGTGTTAAGAAATATATTTAATGCAGGTCTGATAAATCATCCTGTGCACCCGCGCTTCTCCTGTTAAATACAGAGCTTGGTGTTGACCATCTATCTCTGAGGGCTGTGATCACCTGAAGTAAGAGCCAGAGGCCAGACAGGGTAAACAGAGATTTACACTGAGGCATACAAATTATCCCTTCAGAAGAGGTGAATCTCATCCTTTGGAATGAAAGAGTGAAATTCTCATCCCATACCAGAAGTTTGGAGCCACCTTACTATCATGTGAGGATTCTTTATAATGAGGATTGCTGTGTAAAAATATCCATTCCCATAAGATAACATCAAGAATTGGATTGCACTCTCTTCCATGAGAACATCAAAGTAATCCTCTTACAAAAGCTCAGTACATGTCATGGCATCAGCTGAGCCCATTAACTGATGGGCCCATGCTCTTAGGGTAGATGAATTACCATATAAAACATCACGTAAAACCTGCACAGGGTAAGGTATGCAATGAAAGTAGCTTAAAGATTTTCTTTGAGATAAGAATGGGTGCAGAAATCTTAATTGCAACTCAGTTGAATAGTGATAACCCGATCACAAATAATAAATAAATAGTGATCACTTTTTAATCTGAGTCCTTAAGACGAAGCAACTGGGGGACTCATTAAGCTTGGATGTGATTGAGAATATGTTGTTATGCTGTTCTTCTGCCAAGCAGAATACTGACTAGAATCCTTGAATGTTTGTTAATCCTGTGCTTTAATGATGCTGCTATCAAACAATATGAACAAAATAATATGAAGCCTCATTCTTTCATGCTGTCCTTTTCCAGGATTTCAGTTTTCATTTCAACATTTCAAGAAGGCTGAGAAGCCTTTGGAAATGCAACCTAAGTCAATTACTGTCTTAATGTCTGTCTGATGCTTAATTAGCTCAAAGCAATCTGCCTGAGATATATCAGGTCCAGAAGGATACCCAGTATAAAGGTACAGGGAAAGTACTGGATATCCACTATAAAGCTTGAAGCAGTGACATCACTCATGTCAAACTACACGAGGCAAAAGAATCATAGAATCATAGAATGGCCTGGGTTGAAAAGGACCACAATGATCATCTCGTTTCAACCCCCTGCTGTGTGCAGGGTCACCAACCCAGACCAGGCTGCCCAGAGCCACATCCAGCCTGGCCTTGAATGCCTGCAGGGATGGGGCATCCACAGCCTCCTTGGGCAACCTGTTCCAGTGCCTCACCACCCTCTGTGTGAAAAACTTCCTCCTAATATCCAACCTAAACCTCCTCTTTCTTAGTTTAAAACCATTCCCCCTTGTCCTATCACAATCCACCCTCGTAAAGAAGAGACAACCTGTGCCACAAAACATAGTGGGGTCATTTCAATCCTCTCCATTGCAGATGCAGAAGAAAGAGGAGTGAGGATACAGGGAAGAAGGAAGAGGAGAAGGTGAATACGGATGCAGAAGAAAGAGGAATGAGTATAGATAAAACAGCAGAAGACCAGTGCAGATGCAGGGTCTCTATGGGTCTCTTTACTGGGTCTCTGAGTCTCTATGGGTCTCTTTATTAAAAAATAAATGATTCTGTGATAATCACCATCCTCCATTCAGTGCAAATTTAAAACACAGGCTTTCTCTTTTCTAGTAACAAGCTCTGGATTGCTTTGCTTTTCATCTTCTAAAAATTATTTCCCCATCTGTTTTTGTTTTCCTCCTGTCCAGTTACCTGACTTCAGCCACCTGTTTTTGAAGCAACAACGATGTTCTGAATTAGGAAGTCTGTTCTGGTCCTGCACACTGTGTTTTCTGACCACTGTGATGATTCAAGCTGACAATGCATCAAACCATTTTTCATTGCTTTTGTCACCTTGGTCATGCAAAATGTAGATTTTCAAGAAGGAAATGTGTATTTTGTGGTCCTTTATGAAATGCATATTTTAAAGTCAACCTTTTGTGAGCTGTGATGGCAAAGGAAATGTAGTTATTGATATGTTTTCTTTCTTCAGCAAATACTAAAAAA